GAATGTGGGGAGTGTCCTGGTTCCAGGCTCTGAAACATTCCTGATTAGTACATGTTTGCAGTACATATTAGTACATGTGTACATATTAGTACATGTTTGCAGTGCATATTAGTACATGTGTACATATTAGTACATTTGCTGTGCTTATATTCCCATGGGGAGTGCTGCATGGACGTAGCGTATCTTAATTCCTTCTAATCCTCTTTATTCATAGCATCACAGTTAATAGCAGCACAATTCATAGCAGCTAAAGGGTCGGTGAGATAGCTTAGTGGACTAAGTGCCTGCTTAGGCAAGCCCAGGGACCGGGATTTGATCCCCAGAACCACATGTTGGGCTGGCCCTGCCCCTGTGTGCACTGAGCCGGCCACGGAGTCCGGGTGTGGTGGCACACGCCTGTAACCCTAGCACTGGGGAGGCTGAAGACAGGAGGATCACTGCAAGTCTGAGCTGCATGGAGACCCTGTACTAAATACATTAAAAAAAAAAAGTAGGAGCTAAATCTTGAAGTAGTAGCCTGCGTCCATCAGCAGGTAAGTGGATAAAGAAAACGTGGTGTCTGTGCAGGGCAGAGGCGCGCTCTGCCCTAAAGAAGGCTGAGGGAGTCTCTTGTAGGAAAGTGGATGCGCCTTGAGACCACAATGTCAAGTGAAGTAAATCAGAATCAGCAGCTTAAGTATCATGTGATTTCTTGAGAAATCCAAAGTATAAATAAAGAATAAAATAGAAGATAAATAAAAGAGGTAACCTTCCTATCTCTTAGGAGCCATTCAGGCATGCTGGGAAGCAGGGAGAGAGAAATCTTGGTCAGACAGGGAAGGGATCAAGGGATGGAGGGGAGAGGGAGGGCCGAGATGGTTTCAGAGAAGGAATTAAGATGTGTTGCATCCACGTGCCGGCTCTGAAGCTTGGAATCCAGAGAAGCACGAAGACAATGACAGCTGTTAGGCAGTCAGTGTTGTTTTGTTTCATATTTGCAGTGCTGGGGATCAAGTTCAGGACCACTCCCATGCAGGCGAAGGGCTGCCGCTGAGCTACGCCTGCACTCCAGCTGATTCTGTTTTTATGTGACCGCTGCTCCCCTCTTCAGAGATTCCTTTTCATTGGCCAAGATCAATAGAACATTCACTGTTTCCCAGACATGTGAAGCACTTCTCTATTTTGTAACTAAGAGGATTGCAGAGTGAGCAATTTTAAATCTTTCATTTCCATTATTAATACTTACAAGGAAGCTTTTAGTAGGCTGGTCCTTGTTCTATCTTAAAAGTGAGAGTCAAAAAAGGGGAAGGAAGAAAAGAAAATGTGGAGGTTTCTATTTCTTAAGGATAGAGGGAGAGAGGGAGGGACGTAGTGAAAGAGAGAAATAGACTCAGAAGTAAGATGGCAGTATGTTCAGAAGATCTTTTAAGATGCGAGGATTGTTTCCTCTCTTGGTAATCTTATCAAATGAACAAATATCTTCAAAAGTCACTTTGTTCCGCACATAGTAGATTAAGCCCTGAACTAAATTTGTGCAGCAACATGAGCACCCCATACTGTGTTTTACTGGACCTTGGAGGGCATCCTGCCTCCCAGCACCCTGTTATTTTATATTAAACTTTGGCATTGGCTGGCAGGAGCCACAGGGGAGCACCCATCTTTATTCTTCTTGTCTGTTAATGAGCTTAAAAAGCAATCAGTGAGTCCCCTGCTGCTTGGGAGGACAAGGGCCATGGAATAGGGTTTCCATGTCTGACAGATGTGGGCTTAAAGCAGGATGTTAGAGATGCTCTAAACTAAGCTAAAGATATTTTAGCAAGTTAATTCCTATTAAATATTGTACTTAATATTCATTCTGTACAAGATTTCTGTGTGCATTAACTACTTAATAAGGTATTTGCACAGGGTGATCCCATAGAGCATCTAGGCCTTTTTCTTCTGGTTTTCTATGTGTGCTGTTTTTAAAACAGGGTCTACAGGTATCGTTCACCCAGGCCTTGCACCTGCTGTCCACCCAGGCTGACAGCGAGGCAAACTCAAGATGATCTTCCTGCCTCAGCATCCCAAGTGCTGCAGTTGCCCTCCTGTGGCACACACACAGCTTGTCTATCAAGTTTTAGGAACTCAAACTTGTCCTCAATTTTTTTAGTTTTTTTTTTTTTTTTCGGAACTGGGGATTTAATGTCCTCAATTTTTAACACACTGCGTTTTTCCTGGAATATTTCTCTATTGAAGAAGTGTCATATTCATTCACTCATCCAGTGTGTGAATGAGCATCCCTTATCTGAAACACTTGGAGCTTGAAGTGTTTCAGTTTTAGATGCTTTTCAGAGTTTTGGACTATGTGTGAAACTTTACCAGTGCAGCATTTGCAGTTTGAAAGTCCAAGATCAGAAATGGAGATTCTAGTAGTGCTTGAAAAGGTTCATTTTTTTTATTATTTCAGACTTGGGATTTTTAATAAAAGATGCTCAGTCCATAGTTATTCTAGGGCTGTTGTCTGCATAACATTGTTCTTCATTTTGTTGGGAATTATGAGCCTGCCCATCCTTTCATTATTGATTGCATGTTAATGTACACAGGGACACTTCTTGGGACTGGAAATGGGGACTCGGCATGACAAGTGGTGTTGCTGCCCATGCCACGACCAGGTGTTGAAGTCCAGGAGCTCAGAGAGTACACGCACACAGAGATGCATGCACTGTCAGATTTGTGTGTGTGCTGGGGTCGAATCCTGGACCTCACGGAGCCAGGCAAGTGACCAACTGCTGAGCGCACCCCCAGCTCTCAAGAGTGCAGCTTTGACGAGGAAACCACTTGCTCTCGTCTGTGCCAAGTATCTGTTGGTTGTGAGCAGCACTTGGGAAGTGTGGCACTGTGACGCCATGTGAACGTGATGTGCTTTTGGTGAGGAACGGAGGCCGGGAGCCCGTGCGTGCCAAACACAAGGTCTTTTTCCCACCTGACTTTCGTGCAGAACTTGGTTCTCTTACATGTATCTCTGCGATTCTCACAGAGGCTCTGTAAAGGACGTAGCGTCGGTTCTGTTGATTCAGATGAAAACATTGGAGGCAGACAGCGAAGTGTGGGCACCCAAAGTCTCCAGAGCTGGCTGCTGAGACCTTACCTGTGGTTCACTCATGTCTATGAGCACTTAGGAGTCCTCTCCTGTCTATGTTCACGTTGAAGCTCAGAAATACAAATACTGGATCACAACAGACCCACATCTGCATTTGACTTGTAAAGCCCTGTCAGTGAAGCTCCCCATGGGCATGGTGGAGGAAGCAAGGGAGGGGAAGTGGTGAGGGCGGCGTGGCTTCCCAGGTCTCAGCCCCTTCCAGCTGATGGGCTCTGCAGCCTTCCTGAAGAACGGGATGGGGCCTGGCGCTGAGCCTCGAGCCTCGCCACAAACAGGAAGCATTTGCCTGCAGCCACCACCTCTTCAAATACCCCTGTTCCCTGGGAATTCCTTCAGTCCTGTCGCTTGGGGAGGTGGGTGTTAGGGATGGGCTCCCAGCCATCGGGCCAGGAGGGGACACCTTGGCAGGAATTCTCCGTGCCATTTGCTTAAGAATTTACTCCTGGGTGCTTTTAACCCCCTCCTGCAAAGGTAAGACTCTGACCTCTGCCCAAGTCATTGACTTCTTTCTGCAGACTGGAAAGGGAACAAATGGCTGCAAAAGTGCTTTTTAGTAGCTCTGTTGGGAGCTCTGTCCTGGGCTTGTGGGCCTGCATGGGTCCCTGTCACGGATCTTTCCCAGCCCCAGCCTGCTCCTCCCTCTGCACCCTACACTGGGTGCCGAGCCCCCTGGACAAGTCTACCAGAGCCTGGGACCAGCATGTAAGACACAAGGCCTCCGTGGAGACCCTCCCGGAATTTTCAGAGCTCTGTAATCATGTGGCCCTGGTCAGTGGCCTGGTGAGTTGAACTTGTTTTTTTGTTCTGGGTCCCATCCTTTATGAGAGCTGTGGGCAAGAGGCAGGAGCCCTGGGGAGGGATTGCTGCTCTTCCTGTGGATTTCTTTTCCTGTTGGTTAGATTGGGCTCATCTGCTTCGGAGTGTCACGGATTCTTTTTCCTTAAGTAGTCTTATCTTTCTGCTTGCCAAACTGCCTGTGTGGGCTCCTTGCTGCTCATAGGTTGCTCTACTAGTGTGTTTTGTAACCAAAAAGTAAAGTATACTTTGACCCAAGTCTGTCTTGGTGACACTGCTTGTTTGTGTAGTGTTTGGAGGGTGGGAATGAGCTTTTCCCTTGTGGGTCCACCTGGGGTTTCAGGTGGTGTAGACAAACCAAGAAGGCCATGGCGGGATCCCTCTGCCCGCGGTGCCACATTTTAGCTACCCCTGGCACACCCACGTGAACATAAAGGCACATCTGGAGGGTTACGGCTCGCCGGGGGGCTTTCCTTGAAGCTCCTAAGTAATAGTGCATTTGCGTTAGGATTAGAATTTGTGGGACAGCCCCTGGTTCCAGAGTTTTTTTCAGCCCCAGGGTAGTCTCTGCCCTCCCTGCCTCCCTGCCCTCGCCCTGTGTGCCTCCTTTGCAGACACATTTTACGAGGCCACATTAAACTCTGAGCTGGGGGATTAACTGAGTAGTCAGAGGGCTAATCGGGAACAAGCTCCGCCAGATAAGCCTCCTTTTGTTTAGATTTGGAAATATAAACAAAGGCCTATATTTTTGTGATCTTAAAGCAGAACATCAGAGAGAAAACAGCGAGCCGCAGAGCCGTTTCCTGTGAAGACAACAGACACCAGAAGGGAAGGGGCTGTCAGGCCGGCAGCGGGTCTTGCCGGAATGCACACTGCCCTAGGAGGTGAACAAATCAGTTTCTCAGGGTAAGAAGCAAAAAGGCAAAGCGCTACCAAGAAGGCGCCTCCCACTCCTGGCCAGCAAAGTGAGGAATGTGCTTCAGTGCCTGCTTCCCACCCGGAGGTGGGGTTTTGAAGCAGCTCAGCTGACGCAAACACAGCGGAGGGTGAATAGTTCACAGAAGAAGGACACTGTGACTCCAGGAGCAGCCCAGGGCTGTCCCCAAAGGCATCCAGTCCTAGCCGGGACCAGGCAAGCTCACACCTCAGACAGTCCCCCCAGTGCACATCTACATGGAAGGAAAGTGAGACTGAGAAAGTGTGTTGTTTCCTAGGGACGCTGTGGAACACTGATGGGTGAGGAGGTCCATGCAGAAGAAGGGGACAGCTGATTAGAGGACACAGTACTAAGTGACTGGAGTGGCTGCTCAGAGACAGGCTTTCAAACTTTGAAACTGAGCAGAGTCAACAGAAAGTGGTCTCTGTAGTGAAGATTAGCGTGAACAACTCTCCACTTGATTGAAGGAACATAAAGATTTCAGCTTTTCCTTGTGAGTGAATGCACACGGTGAAGCCAGGGTCAGGCAGGTAAGGGTGTTTTACTCTGGGCTCCGGACCGCACCAGCTAGCCTCTTCCCCAGAACCCGACTTGATGCTGTGTGAAAATCACTCTTTCAGATGCGAGCCCTCCATTGTTTTGCTTTGCAAGATCACTGGAAAGTGTCTCACTTCTGTACTTGGTACATGAGAGTGGCATTGGCCATCTGTATCTTGCAGACTAGGTGCATGGTGACAGAGAGGCTGTGGCCTTGGGTTTTCTTCCAAACCCAGCCTCCATGAGCCGGGAAGGGACAGAGGGAAGTGGTAGACGCCACCAGCTAGGGTCTTGTCCAGAAGCCCCTTGTGTTGGCCTGCAGCAACTCTGAGTGTGCTGGGTGGGCTGGTCAGGAAGGAAGAGTAGAAATACAGCGAAGCCATGAGTTCATGCTCAAAGATTCTTCTATCATCTTAATTGCATATTACACATACTACATTGCATATTGCAGTCTTCATGTCATGCTTTGGCAACTGTGAATTATTCAGTAGATATGAATTCTATGAAGATACAGGGCTTATCATATAATCTACCTCTGGAAGCCTCTGGAAAAACCCTAAAACACTCTTTGTTCTTTGATTGGAGAAGTTCATGGGTAGTATCTTTACCAGTATAAACCTTAATCCCTTCTAAACAGCTTTTGAATCTTTGGGATAAAAGAGAGCAGATATCAATACTGGGAAGCCTGTCGGGTATTTTTGACAAATGTCTTTTATTCAAGGTTTTCCAGTTGCCCGAGGCACCAAGACCTCCGTGGCTGGAGATGTGCAGGATTTTGTGGATGTGGTAGGGGTGGTATTGCAGGGCAGGAGGAGAAGGGGTCGTGCGGATAGACATCTTGGCACAGGGGTTTCAGACATGGCTCTCGGAAGTACTGGAGTCAGAGATGCAGAGGGAGGGGTGGAAAAAAGGGAAGACTCCAAGAAGGCTCCGGACCGCAGCCCACGATACCTCCGGAGCCCTTGTGCCCAGCTCCTTCCTGTTTATTTGCTTTATGGTGCAGGAGATGGAGCTCAGGGTCTCTACACTGGGCTACATATCTAGTTTTTGTGTTCCTTTCAAATTCTGGCCTTCTGTACGTTTTTTTATTTTTTAAGACACCTAGTGCACTCGAGTTTGAAACCACTGAACACATGCGGCTGCTCACACACTGCGTGCCGTCCCTAGGGCTGTGCTCTCAGTCCTGTTTCTTACCCTAATCTGGGAAGGTGCACATGGGGGTCGGTCATGGATGCAGGCTTCCTCCAGGTACACAGAGGAGGTGCTCCCACTCAGCCGGAACCGTCAGTGCCCAGGCACATTCAGCCGCAGTTTCACTAAGTCTTCACACAAACCCCACACCTGCAGGATTTTCTACAGCTTGCAAGTGAGGAAATTGAGGCGCAGTGAGGGGCCCTGTGTGGCCCAGGTTCATACAGTTTGGTGTCCAGGCAAGAAGCAGAGACCAAGCTCGTGTGACTCTCAGTCCTTTTGCCCACACATGGCTGTATGGATGATGAATTTGCATTCTGTCTGTGCCTTTCAGGCCAGAGTAGAAACCTCTAGATGAGGTCGTGGTGGGAGGGGCTTCGGAGCTTTGAACAATGTGCGGGGGGTGCTCTTCTTGGACTCTGTTTCCAGTCTTCTTGCAGAGGTACATGGAATGGAGCGCAGGGTCTCAGGCATGGACTCTGCCACTAAGCTACATGCCTGGCCCCTGAGTTCATTTTAAATTCCATCTGCTCCTCTTCCCCACCGACGGAAACCTTGGGGTCTCTGTGCGGGAGGTGGTGTTGTTTTGGGTCGGGGAATCAAACTCAGGACCTTCCACTTGCCAGGCAGGCTCTTGTGCTGCTGTGCTATATCCTGGGCTCTGTTGTTTTGGGGGAGGAGAAGGTGCCGTTGGGAGAAGAGAACGGAATCACGTTTTGAGAAGGAGTTTGTTGCAGAGAATCGTGCCCCAAGCCCATCGTGGTTCATCCCAGTAACCTGCTTCCATTCTGGGGTCCGAAGAAGACCTGCCGTGGACTGTCCTGGCACCCTCTGCATTTGTCAGCCGACCCCTCTGTGAAGTCCGGCTCTGCCGCGCCTGCCCCTGCCGCCGCAGCCTCCCCACCCCTCCCACCCCAGCCTCGCGAAGGCCCTTGGCCGGCTCTCTGTGGACACCCCCCGCACTGCGCCTGTGCCCTTCCCCCAGCCACAGCCCCCTTCGCGAACTGAGGAGAGCTGCCTGTCGGGTGCCTTGCCTCGGCTGGCCTCGTGCTGCTTCTGACTTCAACAGGTGTCTGCGCAGCTGTCCCTTCTCCAAGACAGCTCTTCAGGGATCTAAATTTACCCGGCACTCGCCGCCCTGGCAGTGTGACCCGGCCCGGGCGGGTCCCTCGCTAGCTGTCTTTCGCAGTCAGGCCTGTCGACGTTCGTGGGGCTGGATTTCGGGTCTCGGGAGTACGGACCAGGCCTCCCCTTCCGTCTGGGACGCTGACAGACTTGTCCTCCGCTGAAGATCCATTTCACTTACCTGGCGCCCTCCCGCCTTGCTGTCGGCTTCTGAGGGCCGAAGCCCTGCTCTCTGTCCACGTGCTGCACCCAGCCGGGAAGCAGGTGCCTGCACGTGCACAGCCGCCATCCCTGGACTTCATACTCATTCCTATTAAATTTCTCCTGGCTGTTTGCAGTCCAGGAGCTCTGCTTGCTGCGATTTCTTGGTTTTGGCATCGTCATCATAGTGGCCTACTAGACTCACTGGAAAGATGATCGGAGAGGAGGAAGATCCCCAGGTGTACAAACTGCTTGTAAATCTTCTCTACCGAGGCCTGCGCTCATGACACCTGGCTGAGAAAACCTCAGGGGCTTCCACAGTGCGGGCCGCCTTCCTCCAGCCCAAGAAGAGGCTCTGTGATAGCGCTCCCCACATTGCAGGCAACCGCAGCAGCGTGACCTCGCAAGCCAGGCCTGGTCTCCCTGGCTGTGCAGCCTGCACCTCTCTGCGCCAGGGTCCTGCCTGTCCTCCCGCTGGAAGTCCAGCCTGGCCTTTCACAGGCCATCCTTTTGCCTTTCCTCCCTTTGGGGGCGTTGCCCAAGACTCTGGGCACTTACTGTGTGAATCCAAGTGGCGTTGCTGCTGAGGAGGGGCACCACAGGAGGAGAGAGCCTGGTGCCCCTCCTCGCTCGCCCTCACCACAGGAGTCCTGACCCCAGTGGGATCTGGCCTCTGTGTTCTCTCTGTAGGGCTCCTGGACACAGCCTTCAGCTGAAAAGTCAAGCTCCAAAATGCTCCGAACCCCAGAAATGAGCATCAACAGGACACTACAAGTAGAAAATTCCAAATTTAAATTCATGTGACCTTTCCCAGTCAAAATGCAGGCTCACTAAAATGGTCTAAACTACCCTCAGGCTAGGTCTATAAGGTATGTATGAAAGGAAGATGAACTTCCTGTTTAGACTTGGGTTCCATCCTCAGGATGTTTTATTATGTGGATATAAATATTCCAAAATCTGGAAAAAATTAAATCCAAAACATTATGGTTCTAAATTGTTTTTTGGAGGGGGGCACCAGAAATTGAACTCACTTATGCCACTGAACCTGGCCCCTCCAAACATTTTTGATAAAGGCTAATAAAGCTGTGTTGACATTGCAATTAAAATGTTTAATCACACAAAGCCTAATTTTAACTTAGGTGCTCATGGTATCCTGCTAAGTTGCATTTTGTTTTATGTAGTGACAAAATAAGTTATAAAAGTTTTTTTTTTTTTCCGTTTACAAAGTATGATCCTTTTTTCTTTAAAAATACACCATTGTCAAGGGGAATCAGAAATGCATGGTTTTCAGTTTTGCCATTTATCATGAAGATTAACAATCTGGCCTGCTAGCTGACTCAAACCTTGGCATCTACTGAAGTTCTTCAGGGGTCTTCTGTCAGGCCAGGTAGTTGTAGAAATATTGAAGATCAGGGAAAATTTCTATATTTGCAAGCTTATTTAGAGGTATAAGCACAGTGAATAAAATATTAATATTTGGTACATCATGAAGTTCTGTACTTAAACACTAAGGCAGAAACCTGGGTATGGCTGGAGAGTACACAGGTGGGTTTCTGGACTCTATAACCCCATTTCAGTGTCTTCCTCAACTATCACTTCGGAAAGCTCCAGGAGAAAGAAGGGCACAACCCTGCCTAGAGCACCAGTGCGTGGCTCATACTTGTTTTGCACAGAGGGCTTCTCTGACAGTGTGCTTTCTATCAAATAGTGTACCTAAAAAGGAGAACTATGACAGTTAAGGGTTTTATACCTGTGTGTTATGATTTGCTTCGGAGGCCAGGCTTCCATTAACCTATTTGGAGATAAAGGGAACTTAGGTCTCTAGTGGTGCATGGGATGTTCCATCAGTCAGTGGTAGGTTTATGACTGGAGTTGCAGGGTCCAACCATGAAGCTCTCTTTTTAAAACTTCTGCCATATCTACCTCCCCTTGACTCTGTTCTCCCATCTGCATGTGGAATCCACAATTAGATTTCTGTCATGGATGAATCTCCCCACATCTTATTGGAGAGGGGCCTGGGAAGAATTTGAAAAGACAAGCTAAGTTGTTAAGGGACTCTTATGCAGGCTAAGAAGTTGGAAACACCTGCCCCACAACTGGAGCAGCTTCATTAGATGATCCTTAGCATGTGAATAGCGCACTAAGACTGTTGTGTTGGCAGAGTAACTCTTGCAAGGGTTTGTGCAAAGAATCAAAAGGGGAGGAGATGAGATTGGAAGACCAGTCAGGTGACTGTATGGTAGACTGAGGCTCCAGGTGTCCAGCAAAACAAAGGAAGATAGATTGGAGAGATTTGTTGGAGAGACTCAAGCGGACCTGTCCAATCTGGAACACAAAGGAATGAGGAGTGGATAGGGCTGTGGGGTTGCTGCCAGCAGAGTGTTTTGTTTTATTTTAATGTAGAGAGATATTAGTTTAGGAGAGAAATCCTGGAAAGCTACCCCTTTGGAGGTTAAGACTCTCCTTGGGATTGTTC